CTTGCACGAGTTACCCATTGCACGGCGGCGGCAGCGGTTGCGGCTCCTTGGGGCTCAAGCTGCAAGCCGGCCTCCCGCAGTGGGGCGCCCCTAAGAGTTGCGGCGTCCCGGCGGGGCCCCCGCAGCCTTCCTCGGCGGCGGCGGCGCGCTGCAAAGGCGCCAAGCGGCGCTCGAGCTCGCCGGAGCTGCTGCGCTGCAAGCGGCGCTTGGCGTTCCCGGGCCTGGCGGGCGGCGGCGGCGGCGGGGCGGCGGCGGTGGCGCGGCGGAACGAGCGCGAGCGGAACCGGGTCAAGCTGGTCAACCTGGGCTTCCAGACCCTGCGCCAGCACGTGCCCAACGGCGCCGCCGCCAAGAAGATGAGCAAAGTGGAGACGCTCCGCTCCGCCGTGGAGTACATCCGAGCCCTGCAGCGGCTGCTCGACGAGCACGACGCCGTCGGCGCCGCCTTCCCGGACGGGCTCCTGCCGCCCAACGCCGCCGCCGCCGTCTCCTCCTCCTGCGCCGGCAGCGGCAGCTCCTACGCCTCCGCCTCGCCCTCCTTCGACGGCCGCGACGGCAGCTCCGTGCCCGGCTCGCCCCGCTCGGCCTACTCCTCGGACGAGAGCGGCTACGAGGGCGCCCTCAGCCCCGAGGAGCAGGAGCTGCTCGACTTCACCAGCTGGTTCGGGACCTACTGACCACCCCGGACCAGGTAAGGCCGCCTTGCGCGCAAGTGGCCGGGGCACAGTCGACTGGCCAGAAGCCCCATACCCCAGGGTTTCCTCTACGCTGAGCTACTGTGAGCTGGCTCACACTTTTTCAGCCTCTGGCTCACACGTGTTTGCCTTCGCTCAGGGAGTTGGGCTCCAGAGCAGTGTGTCCCTCTAAGCTGAGTTGGTGTGAGCTGGCTCACAGTTTTTGAGCCTCTGGCTCGCACATTTTGCACCCGAGGATGGCTCTGGAGCAAACTGATTTTATGCAGCAGCCCAATCGCTGGCTCACAGCTTTAATGACAGTCGCTCGCAAAGTAGACTTTTTGCTCACAAGACTCCACAGCGTTTACTGTGAGCAGTATTCCCTCTACGCTGAGTTAGTGTGAGCTAGCTCACAGTTCTTTAGCCTCTGGCTCACACATTTTTCTCTTCGCTCAGGGAGTTGGGCTCCAGAGTAGTGTGTCCCTCTAAGCTGAGTTGGTGTGAGCTGGCTCACAGTTTTTGAGCCTCCGGCTCGCACATTTTGCTCACGAGGATGGCTCCGGAGCAAACTGATTTTATGCAGCAGCCCAATCGCTGGCTCACAGCTTTAATGACAGTCGCTCACAAAGTAGACTTTCTGCTCACAAGACTCCACAGCGTTTACTGTGGGCAGTGTTCGCTCTACGCTGAGTTAGTGTGAGCTGGCTCACAGTTCTTGAGCCTCTGGCTCACACGTTTTTCGCGTTGGTTGTGAGCAGTGTTCCCTCTAAGCCGATTCGCTCAGGAAGGAGGGCTCCAGAGCAAACTGATTTGTGCAGCAGCCAAATCGCTCGCTCACAACTTTAATGACAGTCGCTCGCAAAGTAGACTTTCTGCTCACAAGACTCCACAGCGTTGCCTGTGAGCAGTGTTCCCTCTAAGCTGAGTTAGTGTGAGCTAGCTCACAGTTTTTAGCCTCCGGCTCGCACATTTTGCTCCCGAGGATGGCTCTGGAGCAAACTGATTTGTGCAGCAGCCCAATCGCTCGCTCACAACTTTAATGACAGTCGCTCACAAAGTAGACTTTTTGCTCACAGGACTCTACAGCTTAGAGGGACCATTGCCTGTGAGCAGTGTTCCCTCTAAGCCGAGTTAGTGTGAGCTAGCTCACAGTTTTTGAGCCTCCGGCTCACACATTTTGGTCCCCAGGATGGCTCCGGAGCAAACTGATTTGTGCAGCAGCTCAATCGCTCGCTCACAGCTTTAATGACAGTCGCTCACAAAGTAGACTTTTTGCTCACAAGACTCCAAAGCGTAGAGGGAGCGTTGGTTGTGAGCAGTGTTCCCTCTAAGCCGATTCGCTCAGGAAGGAGGGCTCCAGAGCAAACTGATTTGTGCAGCAGCCAAATCGCTCGCTCACAACTTTAATGACAGTCGCTCGCAAAGTAGAATTTTTGCTCACAAGACTCCACAGCTTAGAGGGAGCATTGCTCCAGAGCAAACTGGTTTCTGCAGTAGCCAAAATGGCTCGTTCACAACTACAACTTTAAGGCCAGGAGCTCACAAAGTAGAACTTTTGCTCACAAGACGCCACAGCTTACAGGGAGCATTGGGTCATGGTCATCCTTGGGTCCCTTTTCGAACCAGGCTAGACCGAGTGTGCATTCTTATCACTCAAGAGGAGAACCAACCACACATCCCAGAACCCAGCAATTTGGAGCGCCCACAATGCTCCCAAGATGTGTGCTCATCGTTGTGTGTGAATAGGGCAGTGCTTTCGTTTCCCGTGTGTGCACAGTGTCGCTCCACGTGGAGCAAAGCATGGCAAATCCAAGTGTGGGTCCTGTGCTACCATTGGTGGGCTTCCGGGATGTATGATTTTAATGTCTGAAAAGGAGTACAGTTTCACCAACTAGTGGTCCTTGTGGTTTCCGGTTACCCTCCCACGCAGACCGCAGTGGCACCTGCACGACGAGATAGCCAAGCAGAATGCCACTGCCACGCGTGCCGATCGGCCCTGATGAGGTTCTGGCACGAGAGGCGCAGAAGTCGCAAAAAGGTGAACAGAGTTTGTGGCAGTAGGCGCACAGCTTGCTTACCCCAGCCTGTTGGGAGCTGACATTATACCACCAGTGATACAAGTCAGGTTGAAGAGGCCAATTCTGCGAAACCAGCCGCCATTTATCACAAATAGGGTAGGGCGGGATATAAATCCAAACATAAATAAATAAATAAAAATAAATAAAAGGTGCCTAGCTGAAATCTGAAATAAGGAAACTGGGGTTCCCACTGCAACACAGCTTGCAGTCCTGTCTTTGGGTTTTACTGAAATTAGTAGAAGTACCATGAAATGTGCTTACAGGTGGACCTCTAAGACCTTGCGCATCAGTTTAATATGTATCTGTTTCAGAAGTGGGGGGAGGGGAATAACACCCTCATTGATTTCAACCATATGTGCTTTGCCATCAGATCTTGGGTTGGAATATTAGTCTATGCCATCTTGCCACTTTTATTATTTCTCATCCTATTATTTGCTTGAATGGGGAAGAGCCTTGATTTTGGTATTTGTTTGGAAAGAATAGAAACACAGGTGGAAATTATTGCTTTCAGGGAAGGCTGCGATACAAATTAACAAAATATATTTCCCCTGATACCTGGCTGATTTCACTGGAACTCTTCCCTCCCCCCCCCCCCCCCCCCCAAATAATGGAAGACTTGCTGTTTCCATGCAAGGAACTTCCACTCAAAATGCTGCCACAGTTTTCCTTCCCATCCCAAATCTATTCAAGCAAGCAGGAAGAAATTTCATTTGCAGAGTGTGCATTCACATCTTCCGTTCTGAAATAGGAGTGAACACCTTGGAACAGCACTGAATGGGCCAAACACTGTTTTGCACTTTGTAGGCATTAAAGACAACACATTTCTTGAACACAACTGTGTGATCCACAATGCACTGAGTAGCCTAGATGCATGACCAGGGAAGATGTCTCCCCTGAGCTCTGTGAAATGTGTCATTTACATGCTCCTAATGGCCTTTCGGAGCTGTGGTGGCTCAGTGGTTAAGACGCCGGCTGGAAGGTCGGTAGTTCAGCAGTTCGAGACCCGAGTGCCACATGACGGATTGAGCTCCCATCTCTGGTCCCAGCTCCTGCCAATTTAGCAGTTCGAAAGCAGGAAATTGCAAGTAGATAAATAGGGACCACTTCGGTGGGAAGGTAACAGCATTCCGTATTCCTCGGCATGTAGTCATGCCAGCCACATGACCACAGAAACTTCTTCAGACAGCGCTGGCTCTTCGGAGATGAGCACCGCAACCCTAGAGTTGGATTCGACTGGCTTTCGAGCAAGGGAAACCTTTACTAATGGCCTTTCTGTTTTCTTTCGTAGTGACACTGAAAGCAATGCTGTGTAGGACCTCAGTACCTCATTGTCCCAGGCGCCTGTTATGATGCGGCAGAAGAGTAACAAGGACTCTTAATTTAACATGCTTCCTGCTTTCCTCGAGCCTTTTTGGAAAGGTTCCAGGTTCTTCCATAGAGCGAAAGACTGGTGGTTTGTGATCATTCTCTCTCTCTCTCTTTTTAAAAAGAAAGTGCAATTATGTAAATAGATATTAGGGACCAAATTTTTTACCTGCTGTTGTACAGTAGTTTATGGTACCCTCTGACTCTTGAATTACCAATGAAAAGGCTGGTTTCTGATTCCAGTGGCAAACTGAGATGAACTTGACTTCCATTCTTAATATGTGTTTGTACTTTTTAATGGGAAGGGGTGAAACAATTTAAACTTGATGCTTCCTTTTTCTGAATGGGAAGGGGACTTTTGTAATATCAAAATTAGACTTTTTATATGTAACTTGAACTGCCTGTGGGAGCACTGTTTAATATGAAGACTTATTTTTGTATAAAAATCTTTAGAAATTGTAAGAGGAAAGATGTGTTGAAGTCCATCCCACCTTTGGCTTCTTAAGTCTGCCATCTAGAATGTTTTAAGAACTTACACAATTTAGATATAAAAGTTTCCTAACATTTTCTACTAAAGGAGTATAAAACTGTCTGTCTCAACTATGGTGTCCACATGTTTGTTTGTTTGTTTGGGTCTGGTGTGAAGGTTCATTTACTTGGGGGGGGGGGGACACCCTGAAGTTTTATTTTTAATGTATTGAAGGTATTTTTGTATGCACTTCCTAGGATTTATCAAGTTGTATATATGCAGTTTTTAAAGAGTATCCTATTTTATGTAAATCGAGTTTATAAATAAAATCTATTTATAAATAGCTCTTGTGATAGTGACTGCACATTTCCGTCCTCATGGGCATGGGGGAAGAGAAGCCACAGTGGGACAGAAAGCCGGACTCTTTTTGGCTGCTTAGGTTGCTCTTAACGCACAACTTAAATTTCTGTCTATAGCATAATATCCCCAACCCGTGGTCTGTGAATTTATTAGACTACTACCTCAGTCCAAGAACTGAAACGGGTATCCAGCTTAGAATCATAGAATTAGAAGGGACCTCCAGGGTCATAGAATCATAGAATGTTAGAGTTGGAAGGGATCTTGCAGGTCATCTAGTCCAACCCCCTGCACTCTGCGGGAGCATAGCCGAAAGATAGCCCTGCGACATACCCGAAAGATGGTCATCCAGCCTCTGCTTGAAAACATCCAACGAAGGAGCATCCACCACCTCCCGAGGCAGACTGTCATCTAGAGGGGGGTCATCTAGTCCAGCCCCCTGCACAATGCAGGAAATTCACAAATACCTCCCCCACCCACCCTCAGTGATCCCTGCTCCATGCCCAGAAGAGAGTCCCCCCACACACAAAAACAACCCTTCAGGATCCCTGGATTCATAAGATCCACTCATTATACTGCCTACAGCAGCCTAAGTCACTCATGGGAAACGTTTACTCAATCTCTTCTGACAAAAAAAACTTCCTGATGACTTGAGGATTTCTGTAAAGGAGCTGCTCTGATTGTGGGGCAGTACGGACCCTTTCCCCGAACAAAAAATTGCACATAGAAGTTGGTTCTCTTCAGCATCGTGTTGGTGACTCGCAATCTTGAGTGTGCCTCGAACGCCCCTGGCCACGATAAAGGCCAAATAGGCGTGGCAGTTATTTTGTAACCGTTCCATACCACCTTCCACTAGTTATTTCATTCTTTGTAATAGTTCTGTGGTAAAGTATTGCAGGACTCGCCAGGTTTCCCAAGTGACAAGTGGCTAGGACAGAATTTTTGTGACTTAAATCTATGCTGCGCTTAATTTTTATGGGCGAGGGTTCGAGGGGCTCCACTCCTGCTACTACACAAGAAAAATCCTGGTGGAGGATATCATTTTAAGTGCCAATAATGAGTGAGTTATTAATAAGTCCAGGCACAGAGCAGAAGGTGATATCAGACTCTTAGAAATGACTTCAGCTCTCTTAGAAACGTTTGGACTTCCCATTTATGTGGATTGAATGGGCTCACTTTATTGGATTGGGATAAAAAGCCAAGATGTCCTAAATAATTGAGTTGATAATGGTGATAAACCAGGAGAGGGAGTCTCATGATATCTTTCCTATTATTCCAGTTTGGTGTAGTGGTTAAGTGTGCGGACTCTAATCTGGGAGAACCGGGTTTGATTCCCCACTCCTTTGCTCACAGCTGCTGGATGACCTTGGGCCTGCCCTAGTTCTAACAGAGCTGTTCTTGAAAAAAGAGCAGTTTCTATCAGAGCTCTCTCACCCCCCCCTCCCTCACGGGGTGTCTGTTGGGGGGAGGGGAAGGGAAAGGAGTTTGCAAGCCGCTCTGAGACTCCGAGTGAAGGGCGGGGTATAAATCCAATCTCCTCTCTCTCTCCTCTCTTTATGCTGTACTTTACTCATCTTCCACTGAAACTACAAAGAGTTAAGGGTGTCAGAATCTGCTTCATTATATAAGCATAAAGAGCTGCCATAGTCAGAATTTATGAGAATATACCTTTATTTCAAATGAATAAGGCTTCAGAGGTTTATGAAGCTAACCTTTATAGTAAAAAAAAAAAAATCCTGAGTGAAAAGGGGAGAAAGAGTGGCATGAATTTCCAATATAGTTTCAGTCTTAAATCATATGTTTAATTGTTCTGTGGAGTCGTCCAAGCCTCATACTAACAAAGAGACTTCCTGATATGAAACTGTATTGGAACAATATTTTTGCACAGGCCATCACTATATTCTGCTATGTTCACCATACGAAACAGTTCCAGAAGAACTTGTTTGGGTAGAAGGGAGTTTGGAGTCCCATTTTATGTACAGATCAAAACCAGCAACAATGTATCCAGAACGAGCATCTGCTTTCCAATTTAATCCTGACTCTTTGGTGTAGCGGTTAAGGGCGCGGACTCTAATCTGGGAGAACCGGGTTTGATTCCCCACTCCTCCACTTGCACCTGCTGGAAGACCTTGGGCAAGTCATAGTTCTGGTACAGCTGTTGTTGAAAAAGACCCATTTCTGTCAGAGCTCTCTCAGCCCCACCTACCTCACAGGGTGTCTGTTGTGGGGAGGGGAAGGGAAAGGAGTTTGTAAGCCGCTCTGAGACTCCTTTGGGTAGTGAAGGGTGGGGTAGAAATCCAATCTCCTCCTCCTCCTCCTCCTCCTCCTCTTCTTCTTCTTCTTCCCATTGCCTGGCTCTGCATAGTGACCCTAATCCGGGCTGACCTTGCTTAGCTTCTGAGATCTGAAAGCATTGGGTTACTTTGGGCTATCAGGTCAGAGTGCAAGGAAATATTTTACACCGCAATATTTCTTTGGCGTTCACACAGTCTTAATATATGCAGAAAACTGACATTCCCGGGCTAGGATTGCACTTCCCGGATAGGGTAGGTTGGTGGTTTCCAGGACACTCTGCCAATGGGAACCTTCTTGCCTACTCCAGAAGAGCCGGTGGCATCCCTTGTGAATACGTGTCGCCGCCGTCACTCTCTTTCATTATTGGCATCCTTGTTTTTTGTCTGCACCACGCAACACAAGAAAGGGAGCGGGAGATTAAAAGAAGAGCTAAATAGAAGGGGAGGGCATGCCACGAACCTTAAAACGATGCCAGCGAAATCACTAATGCCCTATCACGGAAGTTGTTTCGCAACCACAGCCTTAGCTGAGAGCAAACAGCAACAACTTGTAAACACGGTTGTTGATTTTATTAGCTTCATAACTGACAACGGAAGGATCTGCAGAGAAAATACCTGAGTTACCCTCCTTTACGCCCGTAGCCAACATAAAGGGGATTATAGGCTGGGCCATGTTTTGCTTGCCACCATTTTCTTGAGCCACCCCGTCCTTTAGGGGGAAACTTTGAAGCCTAATTCATCGTTAGGAACCAAGCGGCTCCAGAAGCACTGTGGGGATGAAGATCCTTTCGATAAAGTCATGGCACGCTCGAGGAATAAGGACTTGCTTTCTCAAGAATGCTATATGTTTTCCTGTTTTGCCGCAGGGTTTAAGAGTCCACTGGTCTGACTTTGTGGTAGTCTGTAATGTGCATCCTTTCTTCCCATAGACGGCAACGGGGGAAGGGATAAAGGTGCTCATGGCTGTCCATCATGGATCAGGATGGTCTCTTTCC